CGGAAACTCTATGAACTTGGAGAAATGATGAAAAGTTATACAACTTTTCAGGTCTTTTGTTCATAGGGTCACTATGAGTCATCTATGACTCAAAAGTACAACATCACTTATATCACATATGAGCAAAATCCTGCTGAAGATTATCCAAAAACAACTGGAACAGTATCCATCGTTTAGAAGAGGTTGTGACACTAGAGATATTATTGCCAATGTCAGATGGATCTTGGCCGAAAAGAGAGTACAAGAGGAATGTCTATCAGTGTTTCACAGACTATGCCAAGGCATTTGACTGTGAATTACAAGAATTGTTGCTAACCTTGAGGAGAATGAGAATCCCAGAACACTTGATTGTGCTAATGTGAAACCTATACTTTAACCAGGAAGCAGTCCTCAGAACAGAGCAAGGAAACACTGCGTGGTTCAAAATCAGGAGAGTAGTGTGTCAGGATGCGTCCTGGCTCTGTAACTTTTCAATCTATATGCAGAACAGATTATTCAGGTGGCTGGGCTTTATGAGGAGTCATGTGGCATCAGGACTAAATAAAAACTCAAAACCTACATTATGCAGATGACACAACGTTTCTTGCTGAAACTGAGGAGAACCTGAAGAGCTTGTGGCAGAAGGTCAAGGACTGCAGTCTTCAATATGGATTGAAGCTCAACATCAAGAAGACAAAGATTCTCATCACTGGGCTAACTGACATCACCATGATAGATGGAGAAGTGATTGAGGTTAATAATTACAGCTTGCTCAGCTCCACAACCAACACTTTTGATACCAGCAGTTAGGAAATTAAAAGATGAATTGCACTGGGAAAATTAGCTGTCACAGACCTCTCCAGAGTACTGAGAAGCAAGAATGTCAGTCTAGAGACAAAGGTGTGCTTGATCCAGAACATGGTCATTATAATTACTTGCTGTGCATCAGAGAGCTGGACAATGAATGACTAAGTAGGACAAAAGAAGAATAGATGCCTTTGAGTTGTGGTGCTAGAGAAGACTCTTCAACATATCATGAACCACCAAGAAAGCAAAGAGGTCTGTCTTGGAGAGGGTGAAACCAAGTTTCTTGTTGGAGGCTAGGATTTTGACGCTTCATCTCACATACTTTGGACATGTGGCCAGGAAGAACTGGTCCTTAGATAAGGACATCATGCTTGTAAGGGTGGTGAAAGAGCATAGAAGAGGAAGACCCCAGATGAGAGAGACTGATACAGTAACTGGGGCAATGAAGGTAGGTGTGTTGGAGTCAGCAAGAATGGCTAAGGACATGGCAGGCTTCAGAGCTGTTGTACATAGGGTTGCTGTGAATTGCAGGTGACTTGACGGCACATAAAAACAACAACAACAACAAATCACAGTACCTTGTCAGTGCTCTCTTATTAAAAAGCATTAGTAGAAAGCAATACTTTGTAGAATTACTTTAAAAAGAGTAAAAACTATTTTCAAATTTTGTATAATATCAATTTCAGCACTAGTAATAGTAAATGTGACTTTTACAGCAATATATTTTTCTACTACATTTTCATAGGTGTTGACTCATAAAAAGTAAATATAAATGATGAGGATCTATGCCCCTCAATATAAACAAACCTACAGCAGCCCATATCTAGTTCTCATAAAATATTCACTTGGAGGATACAAATGAGATACTTTTCCATCATCCACTGGTTTCATCAGAATGGCTCTTCTGAGTGCAACAATGAATGAATGAAAACCCAAAATCTCTGTAAATGTTCACTAAAACAAAAAAAAATTTAATAATAATTTAAAAAAAAGAAAATTGGTAAAAAAAAAAGAATGGTTCTTCTGTCTGCTGCAAACTGCTAAGAATTTAGATATATTTCTAGGATCAAATTATCAATTACAATCTTTTGTTTTTAAAAAACCTACAATATTTACAACAGAAAACAGATAAGGAAAATTTATTTTCTTGGATACTTTCAAGTTTCAAGTATTATCTAAAGAGTTTAGACTCTACATTATGTGAACTGATATGGATTAATGTGAATTAAAAAACTAGGTAAGAATAAATGGGGTTGTGACTTATGCCCAATTGTGGGGTTTATACTACTCTTTCCAAAGAAATCAGTCTTTGTCCATGTTTCATGAGCAGTAACTTCTGAATCTTTCGATTTCCCCTACAAATCACAAGTATTTTTTAAGAGGGTTCCAGATCACATCTAACAGGTTATGAAACGAAGTGATTCTTCGGTAGGGACTAGGCTAGACTAGAGATCTTTGTCACTATGTCACAGCTACTATAATAACATGGCAAAATCCTTAATAAAAGCTATAGATATTTAATCTCCATGTCCTCCCAAGTTGATGAAAGACATCTGATCTTGAGAGGTGTTGTACAGTGGCTTGAGTTTTTAAAAATGTTTGTTCTAGCCTACTGGGTTTGATTTTCACCAGAGAGTTGAGTGGGGCTGTGCTAAAATAATTACGTTAATAGTATCTTTTGAGTGGTCACATGCAAACAAGTGTGCATACTACTAATGAGGGGAATTGGTCAGTCTTGCCAACCTGCTAGATTCAATGGGCAGATTTAGCAGCATAAAAGCTGATCTCAAAACCAGCAAGAAAGAAGAATCATAGAGTCTAGTGTGCATTCACTTGGGCCAGACAAGAACAGTAGTAGCAGAGAACAGAGACTAATATGACATGACAGAGAGCTGAGCCCCAGGGAGCCAATCAGAGAATGGAGGTCTTTGTTTGCACTTCCTGGAGGACTGGGAGATGAGAGCTGAGGGAAGAGATGCTTATGTGGCGGGACTAAGAGTCTTGAGGCTGAAGAGCAAAGGGCCTCAAAGCAGGCTTGAGAAGCTGTCCTGGCTATAGAATTATATTAGGTTTCCAGCCTGAGCCATATAACCTGTCAATTTCCTTAATAAATATCATTATCATGAGTATGATCTGTGAGTTCTTAGCAGATCTAGTAGCGGAGCAGTGAGAACCCTGGGAGGGATGGTTGGTACCATACTTGGTAGAAGCAGCATGGGGACCTGGGAATTGGCTTTGTGTTGTGGATAGAGACTGCTCTCCCTTACAGAATTAGTGGAGATCAAACACAGCCACCCTTGTGCTTTTTACTCTAGTTTTACAGGAGGGTCTGAGCTCTTTTTGGAACAAGGAGGCTCTACAATGGGAATCTTCAAGACTTTATGTAGTCATCTTTGTGTTAATCTTAATTGTTGTTGTTATGTGCCGGCTACTTAACAATAAAGCTCTATTTACTTTGTTCCATGAATCACTGGATTACTGAACCCAAGGGAATACCATGAAGTAAGCAGTAAGAGGCCTGGGAGCATAAACTGATGACTGGAGCTGAAAGGGTAATGGTTGTTGTTAGCTGCACTAAAGAATGAAATGCTACCTACTCTGTGCCATCTCCATGACTAGCTGGAGACGGATCACATTATTGTGATCCATAGGGTTTTCGCTGGCTTTTTTAAAAAATTATTACTATTATTATTATTATTATTTTTAAATATTTATTAAAATTTAAATTTTTTACCAGTCCTTAGAGAAGGACATCATGTTTGGAAGGGTGGAGGGACAGTACAAGAGAGGAAGACACTGAATGAGATGGACTGACTCAGTGCCTGGGAAAATGGGGGTAGGTGTGTCAGAGATGATGAAATTGGTTCAGGATCAAGCAGGATTCAGAGCTATTATATATATAGATTTGCTACGAGTAAGAGTCAACTGAATGGCACATAATAACAACAACAATACATATATTTATTAAAATATATGCACCAACCACAAATACCAAAGATGAAGAAAGTGATGATTCCTACCAGCTTTCGCAGTCTGAAACTGATTGAACAGGCAATCAAGACGCATCAATAATAACTGATGACTGTAAGGTAAGGGCTGAAAATGAAGAAGTACTGTAAGTTGGAAAATATAGCCTTCATGACAGAAAAGAAAGAGACTGGAGATCACCCTCTGGCTTATTTTTAAAAGGAGATCATCATGTCTTTTTTTTGCTAGTTCACCTTGGTCTTGGAACTTTACTGAAACCTATTCAGCATTTCAACAATATGTAAAGTCTGCACTGACAGATGATGGCTGCATATGAGGTGTACTGCTAGGGCATCAGACCCAGGTTTATCCCCATGGAAGGTAAGAATTCTAAGGTAAGAATTCTACTATGAACCACCAATGAATTTTGGAAAGATAAAGAGAAAACAATGAATCTGCAGGCAGAAGGTCAGGAGTGAGAGAGCCTTAGGGACAATCAAATTTGTGGCTGATTCATGATGTCTTGGGATGATGTGGTAACTTGGCAGTCTACAGAAATTATGTTTTAACCTGAATTATCTGAATGTTCTCCAAGCAGTTAGGGAGAGAGAAAGAAGCATTGTAAGTATAGCTATTGTCAAGAGAAATAGCAGAAATCTGAAACCTGGAAGTTGATTTTTCATGCACCAACCTTGCTATAAAGACATATTTTTCATATTTAAACATATTTGTTCTTGAGTCATAATATACATAGAAAAGGCATTTTCTACCATGCAGAAAGTTTTAAAAAAGGATGTCTTATTCATACACACAAACACACATATGCAAACCCAAGTCTGACAGGGTTCCCAAAGTTATCCAAGCACCAATATGTGGTTTGGGGAAACAGACTCCAACAATTCAAATTATAGCTCTTTAGCCACTTAATCAGTCTCTTCTTTGTGGTTGTGAAACTCTCTACTACAACCATGAGGAATGAACTTTTTCTAAACCACTTTTGGGGTAGTTAGATGATGTATGTGAACTCAGCAGAAGAAACAGCATAATTTTTATACCCACCCCTTACTTGAGGTAATGTATCTAAAAGAGGGAAGAATTTATTTTTCTATTTACCTTTATTTCTCTCTTTAAGCATCATTTAAAAACATAAATTTTGCACATACATTTCAGCAACTCTAAAGCAGAGGGTTTTTTTTAATACAAAGAAAAGATAAAAACACAAAATGATTAACATAAAACTAACTTACCAATGATGCCACTATCTCTGCTTTCAAGAGTGGAGGTTGGACTAGTGACAGCCCCATAGCTGCAATCCTTGGCAGTAGCATTTGTACTGATTGGCGGGAGGGTGGAACAGGGGCTGCTGGCTGGTGGAGAGGCAGTGCTGCTGGTCAGGGTGGAACAGGGACTTATGCGCTGGGTGATTGCTGATGTCTGAAAAGTTGGAGTAAAGAAGAAACTAATGAGCTGTTATTAATTATGTCTTGATTTGAAAAATTAAAAATAACCTACATGCCAAACTTTTAATTATCTATTGTTGAGTACCCTTGAGTAAAAAAACGACTGACAGCTAACCCTCCAGCAGGTTTTGAGAGACAGTTAACCACACATGAGGAGAAGGTCTATCTTTCTCCTGAGGAGCAGCTGGTAGATCTGAACTCTAAGCTTTTAGGCTGATAGCACAACTCCTTACCACTAGGCCACTACAGCTACCTATGTTTATTAGGCTCTGTGTATTTCTGCTTTCTAGGATACATGGTTCTAATGTCTACATTTGGGGTAAATTTAATAATTTTAACATGAGCAGTGACTATAAACATCTTTCTAAAATTTTTTTCACGTGCTAATTTTTTTGTTATGCTTTTTCCTTGCTATATCAAGAAGGTTTTCCTTGCTATATCAAGAAGGTTTGGAATTTTGTCTTGTCAATACTAGTCTTTTATGAGAAAAAAAATACAAACACACACACACACACTCTCACTCACTCTCTCTCTCTCTCTCTCTCTCTCCCCTGTACTCTAGGAGAGGGGGGAAAAATAATGCAAGCCCGTACTCCTCAATCCTTCATTCTCTTTTTAAAAAATTTCTCCTCTCTTTTACTTACATGTATCTTTGATGCATAGGGAGATGCCAAGAGACAATAAGTACAGGGAGAAATGCCCTTTTAAAAGAATTTTGTAAATCCTAAATATTAATGTGATACAGAAAGAAATAAAATCTCTGTGGAATTTTATTACAGACTGAGTCTTTTTGTATCCTGAATAATTTTTACTTACAAAAGCATCTCCTTTCAAAGTTTTTGATCGAGTGTAAACTTGGTAATATATTTTACCAAGTGATTTAGTGAATTCAAAGATGAGTCACTTTTCTCTAAATCTTTCTACTCAAATAAACAATAAAAATAACGAATAAAAGGACTTTCTTCCCCCAAAACACTAAAAACATATTATCCTTCTCAAAGTTCTAAGTTATCAGTAACAAAATTACTTAAGGAGTATAAAAATTTAACATCTTTAGCTATCTCTCAACTTCCTATCAAACAGTTTATATTCACATTATTTGTTAAAATGGAGGGTTTACATTTAAAAAACTGACTTGAAAATGCACTGATTACCACATGAGAGGATATCAAGGTTCTTTTACCCTGCCTAAAAATGCAATCCAGATGCAACTCTTTGTATTATATTACTTGTGACTGATCTAAGTTTTGATTTTAATTCAAATGCTGTTAACCCACTGCTGCTGAGTCAGTAATTACTTATGGTGACCCTTGATTAGATTTCCAAGGCTATAAAACTGAATGGGAACAGACCTCAGAACAGCTGGTGGATGAGACTGCTCACCTTTCAACTGGGAACACAGCATGTAATCCTTTCTGTTATGAGGATGATTGCACATGTGATAAGCAGACCATATAAGAGAAATGTGACTCAAGCACAAGTGGCAGTCTTAGAACTCTAAAGCCAAGGAAATCTTTTCAGCCATGTCAATAATATAGGGAGATAAACTTTTCTTTCCCCCTTTTCAAACATGGTGAAAGGAGCTCTGGTGATGTACTCCATTACATGTTGTGCTGCCACCCACGGATGATGGACAGTCTCCTCCTATAAAGATTTACAGCCTTGTAACTGAATGGAGGGTCTCTCTGAGTAGAAGCTGACTTGATAAACAGTGGATTTGGGATATTTTTTATTCCCCCCTAGCTTTCCCCATCAATAATTCATACATAGATTCATAAAGAGAGGCTGCAATCTCTGCAATGTGCCAATGTGCTTCTTGTTTCTATGCATCTGTTTGTCAAAGATGAGAAAAGGGATGAGGTTTCCCTATCCCTCTTCTCATCTTTGGTTTTGGGGAAATGTTGACCTTTTCGTTTTGTAGAATTGGTTGTTTTAAGGAGTACAACCAACAACAAGAAGTACATTTGGAAGCTCTGGCAGCCAACTTTAAGAAGTTCTGTGCAATCCCTAACACACGATTCAAATCCACTAGCTGCTCAGGGGAAAAGGATGGGAAATCTCTTTCCATGCGATTAACTGACTCTGAAAACCCGCTTGGAGGTTCATTTATGAGTCAGTTTCTAACTCAACAGTACATAACATGATCGAGTATATAATTCATGATTTTGTTTTTTGTTTTATATTCCCTTTATTATCTATCTGAAAGGTGGTCTTTGGGAAAGTCTTCAGTTTTACGTTTAAAGATTGTCTCCAGGTAATGCTCTTAGGGATTCCTCTGTTCCCTCTCCAATCAGTTGCAGTTTTTGCTGTGTGCTGTTAGTCAGAACTGATAACTGACCCTCCAGTGGGTTTACAGAGGCTTTAAGTATCAGAGGAGGAGACTGCCCATCTTTCTCCTGCAAAGTAGCAGGTGGATTCAAATGGTCTGCCTTTGGGTTGGCAGCAAAACTCCTTACCCACTAGGTCCCCAGCACTTCCTTCTGACCAGTGAAGTCTGTTACTTATTTATTTGAATTTGGTTCTTTGATTTTTAACCTTTCTAAGTAGGACCTTATACTGTCGCTTTGGCCAGAATGGTTGGATAAGGGAAACTGGGATTTCATCATCTCATTCTCCTGGTCTTAGGTTAGAGGAGGCTGTGGTACATGAGGACCATTAGTCCTTTGGCTTAAGTGCTTCCTTGATTCTTCATTTTTCTTTGTTTTGCTTTTGCTCAAGGCAGGTATAGATCAACAGTGGCTCCTCAAATGGCCACTCCTCACCAGACAAGGATGCAGAACATATCTCCATGATTTGTGTTTTGCCAACTGACCTAGATATCCCCAGAAACCATGGTCTTTACTAGTCTTTTTTTTTTTAATTTTATTATTTTGTGTGCATGTACCATCAAATCAGATCTGACTGGTACAGGAGGATATTGCGCCTCCTTCTCCGGCAGAGCATCTGGTGGATTCGAACCGTGTTCCTCTGGGATTGCAATGCAGCTTCTTGCCACTAGGCCACCAGAGCTCCCTTACTAGTCTTTTCTGAATAAACAATAAGACCTCAAATCTATGTAAACTTGTCTTCTAATACATACCTATTCTTCAGAGGATGGAAGGTTTCAAATAGTTTATCTCTATTTTTAAAAAATGTTGGCCAATCAGAGCAACACTCTTTTTTTAAAAATTTTGTTATTTTTGTGTGTGTACCGTCAAATCAGATCTGACTCGTATAGGAGGAGATTGTCCCTCCTTCCTCAGCAGAGCATCTGGTGGATTCGAACAGTGTGCCTCTGGGATTGTAGTTGCAGCTCCTTGCCACTAGGCCACCAGAGCTCCCCCAGAGCAACACTCTTAACTGAGTGTGTGGAAGAATCATTACAGAATGAAAAAACCAGACAAAAAAAGCCCCAGTATGCTCTATCTCCCAAATCAGCAGATACTAAGTCCTACCCTAGACTTACTAATTTGAATTTTTCAAGTTGGGAATTCGTCATGGGAACTCTGGTGGCCAGGAGGTTAGGAGCTTTCCTGCCAACCTGAATGCACCCAGTTTGGATCTGCTCCATGGAAGAAAAATGGGAAATCTCCTCTTGTGCAATTTATAATCTTTGAAAACCCACTGGAGGGTCAGCTGTGGACCAGTTTTGACTTGATGGTACATAACAACAAAAACAACAACATGTAGATTCTAATATGCATTCCCAGTTTAAGAAACATGTAGAGAAATAAAACTGTATTTGGATCTCTTACATGAGATTTATCTACAATACTCTCAACAATAACAACAATATCTCTAGTGGTACTGTGTTAAGATACTGGTGTATAAACTAAAAGGTTAGTTCAAACCCACCAGCTGCTCCATGGGAGGAAGATGAGGCAGTATACGCTTCCATAAAGGATTTACAGCTTTGGAGACCCTGTGGGACAGCTTTTATGTCCTACAGAGTCATTACGAGTCAGAATTAATTCAATGGTATAGATGAGTATAGTCACCCCACATTGAAAAAGTTTTATTTTGGTACATATCTATTACTTTTATAATAATTTGTTTCTCAGGTAAGATGCTCAGTAACCTTACACACACAAAAAAACAATGAATGTAGAGATGAAGCCCAAACAAACCTTAGTGTTTAAATTACAAGTTCTCTTCTGCAGAATAAAACACATATAATATAGGCTTTAAAGTTTAAACTATAAAAGCAAAGTTAAAAGACCAAAATAGAAAATGGAAAATTGTTCATGGTTTATGGATCTCTTAAGTACATAAAATATGAACTTTTGCTACCTTAATAAATGTGTGTGAATATACATATATATGGAGATATATATAAGATATATCTATATATAAATATAACTGATTAATTACAATGTCTAATGAAACCTAATTGATGTTATATTAGTTTGAATGGATTTCCATATATGATAGAAATCACAAGTTACAGCATAATACCCTGTAAACAAGGGAGGGGAAAAAAGAAATTAAAGTGGTCAATTGAGTAACAATTGCAATGATACCTTTTGTAGAAAAATGACAGATTCTGACTTGTGTTGGATTTTATTATCACTAGAACCGTTCAGAACGCATAATTATCATGTTAATTTATATTATAAAGAACTGACCCTCCAGTGGGTTTTCAGAGGCAGTAAATGTCATGGGAAGAGAATGCTTATCTTTCTCCCACAGAGAAGCTAGTGAATCAGAACTGCATACTTTTGCATTGGCAGTATAACTCCTTACCACTAAGCCATTGTCTTTGCAATTACTTGCCATGCATCAAAAGTGCTGGATGATGACTAAGGATGACAGAAGTAGAATCGATGCAGTTGTAGTGCTGGAATAGTCTCGAACACCATGAACCACCAAGAAAACAAACAGGTTTGTCTTAGAGAAGGTGAAACCAAGTTTCTCCTTGGAGGCTAGGATTTTGAAGCTGTCTCACATACTCTGGGCACGTAACAAGGAGCGACTGGTCCTAGGGGAAGGACATCA